CACCATGCTATTGCAACGACACCAGATCTTATGATAAGGATCAGATTCATCAGGTTTAACAATAGATCCATCAAGAAAACCAAGCTTATTCTTAGCTTCTAGACTCGTGGTCATAGCAACAAACCAGACGCCATAGTTATTACCATCTAGAGGTTCAGCTACTAAAACGAGTCCAGGATGATCAGAATTTTGCAGGTAAAAGGGAGAGTGGATATTATCCGGTGAATCTGATACCTCAAAAGAGTCGTGTGAAAGAGAACGACGAGCTGGAGCACGATCAGTGATTGGAGCAACGCGATTCGCCGATCCTGAAGTCGCGGGAGGTGGAGGATGTCCAGATGACTCGCCGCGAGCTCGAGGTGACAACGCCGTGCCGGATTCCGGCGAATCGGGAGCAACAGAACGATACTTCGACTTGCAATTGCGTTTTCCCATTGATAATCAAAGACAGCTTCAAATTGAGAAATTCGTAGCTGAGAATGCACAGGAGAACGAAGACAAGCAAGAATCAAAGAAGAGAAAGCTCATAGAGCTTGAAATCGGAGGAAAAATCCGGCGAGAAGCCGACGAAGCTCCGATGAAGCGGAAGTGTTCGTTAGAATGAGATTAAGATATTTTGCTCTGATACCATATTACCAAATTAATCTTATTCTCATTAATTTGCAAAACTATACAATTGAGGGTTTATATACAACTCAAAACCAAGGCCTAAACCATAGCCTTAACCAATAATTAGAGACTCCTATACAATTAGAGACTCTCTATTCAGACTCATACTTTATACAGACTCATATAACATAATAATTACCAAAACGTCTTGCACTTTAGCATAAGAACGTGAACCTGCTCTGTGTCAATGGGCACCTAAACCATCACGACTAAACAGCCGAGAAGAACGAGCTTTCTCACTTTTTTCTTTCGCTTTCGGTGTCATCCAATAATCTACCATAACTCTCCAATGTTCAGAAAGAATCCATTCAGGCTGTTTTCTTTTGGACTTAGCAAGGCTAACCATTCCTTTAAGGCGAGTAGCAGCAAGATGATCAAAGTTCGCTTTTACTAGATCCTCGATCGAAGCATCCCACTCATACTTTGTCTAACATAGAAATTATATCAAACATAAATAAAATAATGGATGAAAGTATTATACACATTAAATTTGTAATTGAAGCAAACCTTAAACGTTGAAAACCATGCCTTCTTGTAAAACGGCGGCACTCTTTTCCAGCTGTACCATGGTCCTTTGAAACACCCTTCAATGATCTTTCTAACTCGTGTTGATACTTCAGTGTTATTTTTGAACCTGTTACATGTGTGGTTAAATAGTCATATTTATATTATAATACATAAGTACTCAATTTTAAAAATAAAAAAATTACCATTTAGCTCCATTCCTTCTTAAGGGGTGGAGAAGTCGAATGTCACGTATTACTGGTGCAGCTTGTTCTCTCTGTTCATTTGGTTCAACATTTACAGCCTGTGAATTTGGGGGTGCATGAGCCAATGGTCTTTGCAAACCAGCAAAGTAAATGAGATGTGAAATCAATTTTAACACCATTTTGTCGGATGAATCAAATTTTGTTTGGATTATAAAGCTTTTGATTAATCTGAACCAAGGTGGAAGCGGCGTAAAATCATCAACACATACTGAAATTAAAAAAGAACTACATATGCATATAAAATACAATTGAGTCTTGCCTATACACATATAATGTTTTTACCATGCATATTGTTAAATAAGCTTATGAAATTATTTCTTACCCAAAAAAAAAGAGGAACTTATCTACTCTACAAATAGTCCAGAGCATAACTTATAATTTATTAATACTTAACTTGTTGAGTCTATATTTCTGATATACTGATTTTTGATCGCCAACATCATTCTCTTATATACGGTATACCAAAAAAAATGTCTCACGATATTGCTAAAGGGTAAGAAAAATGTTCAACAGCTTATGGAATGCATTATGCTTAATCAAAACATGGCTTTTAACAGTAAAGTAAGATTTAATTTTATAGTAATATTTAAAACAGCTTTGGGAGATCGATCATTAATCCCTCAGTAAGATTTTTATTTATGTCCACAGTCCACTTGAAAAAAGTTTTACTTTCTAATATGATAAGAAAATACATACTATTAATGAACAATACACATCCTAAACTGTAAACCACATTTTAGTAAATGACCTCATAATATAGAAAATGAGAAAGATTTACCCTACAATATATATTTTTCTTCATGCAAAATACCAGTTACTTTAGAAAAATGATTCTATCTTTAAGCTACTATTTCCAAAAATAAAAAATAAATGAATAGTACAATGTATAATGGGTCTAATAAGCTAGGCCGATGATATTGTGCCTAGTATTTCGATGACAATGAAGTTGGATCCTTATATGAACAAAGTACGTATGTAGTTATTATATTTGGCTTAAAAACGTATTATATGTTTACTAACATTAATTTAACTGGTATAAATTATACTTTTTTTTTTTTTTTGTGCAACGTATAAATTATACATACCCCGAATTTTATCAAGAACTTGATATCCCAGAACAAATAATTTCTCACCATAACATTGTCAGAAAACTGTAAATTAGTACTATTTTAACTAGAAACAAATTAGTAACCTTTGTCATCTTTTTACTACGCAAATCAAGGGTATCATCCAATTATATATACACTGTTTATTACAACTTATAAATGTTGCAAGAAACACAAATAAAAATTAATAAGTATGATGTTTTTTTGTAAATACATAGAAAAAATGCAGCCATAAAATTTAGAACTTGGGAAATTGAACTCGAGAGTCGCATCGACCATGCGGCATAACAGGACAGTTGATGAATTTGGAAGCCGAAGTGTCAACACATAAATAAATCTGATAGAGTTGGCTATTATGTGACGAATCTTTGTTACATTCAATGCCTGGAGCAAATCCAACTACTTCTTTGATCGTATTCTCAATATCTTTCATTTCATAAAATTTATCATCCGGTTTGATCCCTACATCATAAAAAAAACAAAATATAAGAAGAAATAACATCTACTTGCACATAACTAACAATGGAGATAAAACTGAAGGGCAAAAGAAGTGAATGGTGTACCGGCATTGGTAAGGGCATGAAGGAGATTAGCTTTCTGTTTGAGCTTGAGACCGGCTTCAAAGTAATCGTGTTGGTCAAGCTCGGACTCAGCGCATGTGCCGTGTTTCTCCCACTCATGTGTCCAAAACTTCATACCATCATTGCTCGGACACGACAACGTTGGCCATTCTCTTTGTAAATCGTTCATCAGATCAGACACCTTTATTTATTTTCAATTGTCATTAGTTATTTATGATTATTTTCTTGTAGTTCTTTATATATATATATATATATATATATATTAAGAAACATACAATTGTCCCAAAATGTGATTTTCTTAATTGATATCATTAGTAGAAAAGAAAATTATTGTGTTTAAAAGTTAAAAACAAACCCGTAAATCATCAAATTGACTGTCAGGATTACAATTTTGCGGCCATCCACCGGTTTTGTAGTTAGGCCAAAGACCGTGAATTCCAAAATCCGCAGCTGGTTTACCGGTTTTTGGGTAGCAACAACTATGTATTGAATCACAATACGCTCCAGGCCACTACATTCAATACACATACACATAAACATAAATTTATAAGTACAATGATAATTAGCGTAGACACATGTATTAACTTGAATTACCTGTAAAACGAAGTAGAAGAAATCGAAATCCTGGGCGACACTTTGTACGTAGAGTTGTTGTAACGCTAGAAGACAAATAAAGAATTTCATTTCCTCAAGATATTAAAAGTGCAGAAATCAAATAATTTGTGGGAATCAAATTTGTCGAAAACCAATGAAGGATGAATGATAGAAGAACAGTTTAGAATTTGTTTATTATATAAGTCATATAACGTGACGTGTGTTATTTTCTTTTAGGTAGAAGGACGTGACGTGTGATTGGTATATGAATGCTTAATTGTGTTAGCTTAGTATTTCGTGCAAGCATTTTATTTCCAGCTCCAATGCTTTAAAAAGTAGTAACGTATGGCAAAACTTTCATCATGGTTCAACTATAATTATATATAAAATAAACAATTTAAAGCTACTAGAGTGGCATTATCTATGATCCGTTGCATACCATATCCGTATCAGTTTTAGAACTAGCCGAATATTATGTGATTGAGTATTTATAAAAATATGAATATTCGATTGGAAAAGAAAATTAAACTCTCATTAAAATAAATTATAGTATTCACTATTCACATAGAATTCACGTAAAGACCCTTGTTTCTTAAACTATTAATATTTAAATCATTTATAGACCATAAGGCATAACGCAAACCATTGTCCCGTCTATGAAACGTACGTCAAGGTTCTTGATGCGGCACATGTTGGCTACTTGGTTCTACAGTTACAGACTCCGGTGTATACGGTGTGTACCGTATAAAATAGGTGAACTATACACAAGAAAATATATCAAAAAAATATGTATGAGATTTTTCTAATCCTAACATATTTAAGTTAGAAGCTAGACAAATTTAAAATTCAGTCTCAAAAATTTGATGGATTGACTAACATATGTTGCATCCTGAAAAATTACTGTCGAGTTCTTAAGAAAAACATCACAATTTTTATTAGTAAATTGACACGTGTGCCAATCTTTTTGATTAAAAATAAACATGTCGGATTCTAATTATAACCTACTAAACTTGCATATTATCGAAAGTTCTAATTAACAAGATTGTGGCATTTGTAAATTTATCGATTATATTTTTACGTGCCATGACCTTAAATTTTGTTGTTGTTACACTATCTGATAAAATGAAATGGAATTTGTTTTGACTAAACGGATTATAGTACTAATTAACCTTTTCAAAGTTCTATAATTTAATACATCTATGATTTCTTAAAAATTCAAAATAAAAAATTGGTAGTAATGTTTCTAATTTCTATTCACTACATACAAAAGATACTTATTTTAATTGCAGCTAATAATAGAATTGGTTTTTATAAGTTGAATTTTTTAAAATTATTTGTATATGGGCCTTTAACTGGAGCATTAGTAAAGACAAAAATGAGAAAAGGCCCATATAGTTGTAGTCTAGTTTAGGGTTTGGAGTGTCTCCCTTATATTCTTCGTTCCAAACGAAAACCCTAAAAGAGAAAAGGAGGCGAAAATGGTGCAGCGTCTTGTTTACCGGTCGCGACACAGCTACGCCACCAAATCTAACCAGCACCGTATCGTCAAGACTCCAGGTCCCTTTCTTCTTCTTCTTCCTTGATATCTATTTTCAATCTCCTCTGCTTTAGTCTCATAATTGTCTAATCACCGATCTGTTCTTCATAGTGTAATGTGTGTGGTGATTGTTGATTTCAGGAGGTAAATTGGTGTATCAAACCACAAAGAAGAGAGCTAGTGGCCCCAAATGTCCTGTTACTGGCAAGCGAATTCAAGGAGTAAGTCTTCTGATTTCGATTTGGCTTCGTGTGATTCTGGTTTCTAGAGTCTTGATTTGAGGTTTAGTTAGAGTTCAGAGTCTGATTTTTGAGGAATTTCAGGGCTATGTTTTAGAACGTTTTGAGTATTGATCAGTCTCTAGATTAGTCTCATTTTTAATGGGCATGACTTCTTATTTCAAGAAACCATGTTACTTAGTTAAAATAGTATTGTGCTTATTGACGGTCTTGTGCTGATTAGATAAAACCCACATCAGTACATAACATAAATCATAAGCTAAATTGTCGGTGCCACTTTGTCTTTCAAGTTGTTCCTTGTATTACATAAGGATTTGCTATCCACCTGTGGCATAAATTTTCAATTTTGTGTAGTGTTCATGTTTGATTTTGCAATGGATTATTTCCTTTTACATTATGTGAATAACTTTATCTGTTTGTTCAGATCCCTCACTTGAGGCCCTCTGAATACAAGAGGTCAAGATTATCAAGAAACAGGAGAACTGTAAACCGAGCATACGGTGGAGTCTTGTCTGGTTCTGCAGTCAGGGAAAGGTGTGTGTCCAACTTACTTGAATATCTCACTATTTCATAACTTTGGACTTGTTTAACTCAATGGTATATTTTGGAATTCAACAGGATTATTCGGGCATTCCTTGTTGAAGAGCAAAAGATTGTGAAGAAAGTGTTGAAACTCCAAAAGGCCAAGGAGAAAGTAGCCCCCAAGGCTTAAGCTTTTTATGTTTTCATCTTCTCTGTTTTGGGATTATGGCTATGTTCAAGTGATAGGACTTGGTGCAGTCATGTGAGAACATCTTTGTTACTCATCCAATTTTTAAGCTTTGTATTGTGTTTTCGGTTCTTAACTTTGTCTACATTTCTCTTCTCTTCAGTTTTGGTTTCCGCTTTTATTGTTGAATTCACCTTTAACTGTTGAAGCAGATCTCGTAAGCTGTTGTGGTTACCTTGGTTAATATATAATTTCAATCATTTGGACGCAAAAGCAAGCTTGCAATTAAATTTACTCAAACTTATTCATAACTATGTTTCAATTTCTAGGAATGCTTCAATAACAGTCTCGTAAAGTCAGCACTAAAGATTTTGTTTGGGGCTTGTATAACTGGATCCAGTTTTTCTTTTGTTTATGTTTGAATTAGTTCATATGTCTCTTCACTCAAGCAAAGCTTGGAGGAAATTGGCTTGTGAAAAACAAAAACTGAAGGAAGCATAATTTATAACGATTTAATTTCCTTGCAATAGTGAAAGAGAAAGCCTACAAAGAGGAAACACCCTAGCTTGAAAAAGGCAAGCCAAGAAGGCAGAGATTAGAAATCTTTCCACATCCATCAAGTTGTGGAGAAACAAGCTGGCAAATCGCTATTGATGGACGATAAAGAAGAATAATAACTCTCCAGCAACGTCATGTTCTGTTTCAGGTCTTGATGATGACGATGGTTCTCATCAATTGTTGAAGCGAAATCATCAAACCTAAGTGTGTCGCAATGACCTTGATGATCTTCATTGGAACCACGCATGTTCTTCACTACACCATTTCCTTCGAATCCTGTCTCTTGGTACTCCTGTGGTAGGCTTACTAGCGGAGGACATTGCTCTTGGGCCAACATTGCGCCGAGGTCGATATGGCTCGTGTATTCTCCCAAGAAGGTCGAATCTGATGACGTGTTTAGTAGAAACGATGGGATTTCATTTGACGAGGGGAGCTTGGGAAACTGAGGTTGTGTTTCTTGTGTGGCAAGAAAGAGATTTGTGAGGTATTGTTGGTCTAAACATGAAACCGGATTGAAAACGTTGGTGGATTTGTCATATGAAGTTAAATCCAAGTAAGAGAAGGGACTTATAGTGGCAACGGATGGAGTTGTACTATTACTAGTTTTGGGAGTGTTCATATTCTCATGGTGAAACTGGAAGTGAGAGCTAGTTTTGAGGATCTTGTCTGAAGAAAAATGGTATGTGTTTGATGGCTTTTGGTCGGAGATTGTGTCGGTGCTTGTTTCTGGTGGTAACGAGGAAACAAAGGAGTGAGAGAGAGCTCTTAGGGTCGTTGTGTTGGTCTTTTTGAAGATTCTGCATATAGCCCATGAATCCTGCATTGATCCATATTATTCAAAATGTTAATAACAAATGAGTTGTGTATTCTATAGCAACATATAGAAGCCCAATATATATATATATATTTGCAGTTTTCTTTATTTAATTATTTTATGTTTCGAGTTTTGAGTTTTGTAAAATGTTAATTTGAAGAAACATACTTATTGTTATATTTTAAAAAAAAAAGATTAATAGTACACAGAAAAAAAAAAACCACGCACCCACACAAAATAATTTAGTTTTAAGCTTAAAATCAAATGGACAGCAAAGATGGAGTATTTATTTGTCAAATGTGTCTTGTACCAAAAACTTAAAGACTTTATTTTGTTTTCTCAAACTTATAGATAGATATAACAAACAAATAAATAAATATCTTATATATACACTCGTTCAAGTTTCAACTTACTCGTTTATATATTTACTCATAAAAAAAGTTATTTTCAAAAACTTCTAACCAAATCTTGCGATCTTAGTAACAAATAATAGCCTAAGTTGTCGTTCGGATAACTTTCAATCCTATTTTCTTTGTGAATAAATTATACCTAGAAAAAATTACTGAGTTAATGTGAGCTTACGTTGGGAGAGACAGGAGAGTCAAAGAATCTCTTAGAAGAAGGAGATGGTTCGGAGAGAGAAGGCAAACGAAACTCATGCATCATCCAATCAGTCTTAACTCCTTTCGCAGCTCTTCCTCTGTAGAACACTAAGGACTTCTTTAAACCTATGCATTTGTTTCCCTCCGACGAGTATATCGGCCGGTCCGTTCCCGTGGCTTTCCAAAAACCAGCTCCGGTCACTCGGTTTGGCCTCGAGCTGTTCCTATACTTTCTGTCCCTTGGACAATAAAAGTACCATTCTTTTTCACCCGTCATCGCAAACTCTACAATATTTTAACACAAAAAAAAAAAAAAAACCTTGTTTAGACTTTATTTTCTTATATGAAACCTTATAATATGATAAACAAAAGTATGAAAATCATTTATACTTGGAAGATCCCAGGGGTCGTATTTGTAGATATCGAGCTGTCTTATGAGCTCAATGGAGAGAGGATTGTGTTGAACCTTCCGCTTCAAGTAGAAGCTTACGAGTTCTTCGTCGGTTGGATGAAACCTAAATCCGGGCAACAATACATCCTCCATTTTCTGATCACCGTCATCGGTTCTCTCTCCCATTTTCTCTAAAACCCTAAAAAAACAAAAGAGTTGGAAGAAAGGAACCCTAAGTGGAACAAGAGTGAGTTTGGTAGAAAGTGGAAGTGAAGTAAGTGAAATGGTTTAGCTTAAGTTGAAATCAATATATGCTTCCTTGCCAGGGGTCTGAACCCGAAGGATCAGCCGCCATTTCAGCTGAGTTTTTTTAAATTTTATTTTCTTTTTGAATTAATTTCTCAAGAAATTTTGTTTGAAGCTTTCTTTGGTTTTACTTATAAAAAAATATTCAAAAATGGAGCTGAAGGAAAAGGTTATAAACACGAGGACAATTGTCAAGAAAAAATATAATCAAAAGTACTATATACTATATATACTCAGGCCTTTCGTATTTCTTCTTATCATGAAGAAAAATATATATGTACATATCGATCTTTTTTTGGTTTAACGAATATATCGATACTTACTAATGAAGCATTGCTATTACTTCTAGAATCAGCCCATAGAAAATACTAAAATGCACTATCATCATATCGTGTACGCATATATACACACGTGCACATGTGTGTATTGTGCCATATGGTGAACAATGAACATAGACACACATTGACGTGCATGAAATCTACGTATTTTTGTTTGTGCTTGATGGGTCAATGTATTATGTGTATGTATGTATAATCGTATATGGAGGACGAGACGAAAAATTATTAAAGACCAATTAAGAACCGCTTTAATTTTGTCGCTTTGGTTTGAAGTCTTTAATTAATAAAGGAAACAAGGGCCGATCGAGGCCAGCTGCCACTACAAAAAGATTCGAAATTAAATTCACTTATCAATTGCCTTCAGGTTTCTAATTAAGATTAAACTACAAATTTAAAATGGATTCTCAGAATCCGAGTGTCTTCTATTCCATTCTTCTTCACAGTTTCTATTCCCCACTGACCAATGTCAGAAAATAGAAGGCTTATGGGCCTTAATGGCCAATGGAGGGGCAATGACGATAGTGTAATTTACCATTTTACCAGTTAGTTTGATCTGAGTCTGACTAAATGTCTGAAAAGATCTTGTTTACTTTGACCTTTTTGGTAACTTCAGCGTTCCGGATTTTCCAACGAACAATTCTTAAGTTTGACTCATATTAGTCTTTTGTGGTAACTGGTAAGACTTTAAGGAATTAGTTGATGGAGTTCGACTTTTACGTACAATTTATTATATAAGTCCATTCATTCTTTTTTAAACCTTGGTTCAGAAGGTAATAACTATTTCTCTAACTTCACAAGTTCAAACTTCGTCGCAATATAATATATAAAGATACATAACATGATATCTCTATGTTCGTGAAACCAAATTACTTGAAATTAGCAGTGAGGTTAAGTTTTAATTGAATCTAAGCTTCAACTATGTGCCATCCCGTAATATATAGATAATACACCAATAGCTTCTACAAATATGATTACATATCCATGATCATAATCTTTATACAAACAACACAAAGTACTAGAGTTTTCGTGATCAGCAGAATCATGTAGCCTTGCTTGTCATATTTTAACCTCTCAGCCGCATATAGATATAGTATTCCCAAAGTCACAAAAAAACTTATTAGAATGTCCCATATTTCTTGGGATTAAGATATTTGGGTAGTATATAAAGGATGTGACAATCCTTAACTCTTGAGCTAGCTTTTGGGTTAAGTTAGGCCACATTCCTAATATGGTATCAGAGCCCAAAGTTGGCCCAACAAGCAAAATCCCACAAAAATGGTTTTCCACCAATGTGGCCCATATAAGTGGCATGTCTTGTTGTATTTCCGAGATGTTGGGTTTGGGCTGTTTCCTGTTGGACCGTTTCATACCCACATCTCGAAGAGGCCTATTAGAATGTCCCACATTTCTTGGGATTAAGATCTTTGGGTAGTATATAAAGGATGTGACAATCCTTAACTCTTGAGCTAGCTTTTGGGTTAAGTTAGACCACATTCCTAATAAAACTCATATAAATATGCGTATCAAATATAATCAATTTTCGCACTAACAATAACATCAGAGTCGATGCGTGATTTTTGTGCCTACCTTTAATTTTACACACAATCATCTTTCGTTTTTGAAAAACAAATCAATGAAAACTCGCCGTTTGTGTTGTGTAAATGTAACTCTTAATCAGAAAACCAAGACCACCCACTATTCTTAGCAGCTATACAAAAAGCCTTGATCACTCCTCTATCCTACATATGTTTATTTTGAAAACTTTATTGTATGAATAACAGAGAAAAATAAGTAGGCATCTCCACAAACAATCTTACGATTTGTAGTACGTACCAACAACATATTCCGTAACAAGGTTTCATCAAATTATCAAAAAGAGCAAAATGACAAGGTTTCATATCTATTTGGTTCAAACGAGTCAAATGCAACAATTATGGTTTTCGACTTCTAGATATATAATTTGTACTCGTTCAAATAAAATATGTTTTTTATCTAACAACTTTTATAACTAAAATGGATTAAAGATCCAAACCAGAGATATAAGGTTTACATAGCTAATATTTTGTGAGTATCGGCTCTTTGTGGCTTACATAATGGTCTATCTACTAAAATTGCAATAAGAAAGTGAGTCATTTATCTTATTCATTATATATATATATATATATATATATATATATAAAACTAAAAGAATAAGAACTCATATTTGTATGTTGCCGTGAAGTAGATTTAGTGAAACTAAGTTTACACTAATCCTAAGATCTACA